ATTTTTTTTAAACAATTTTACAAAAACCTGAATTCGAATTGTTGCTTGAAAAAAAAAATGCACTTAAACATGATTTGATATCACTATACCTAAATGCTAATATTTTAAATAATATAATTTATATTATCTTATTAATCTCAAATTTTAACTTTACATTTTAGTTACATTTATTATTATTTTATTAAAAAAAAGTGTAGCATTAGAAGTTGAACTCTTTATAAGACAGTATAAAAAAAAAGAAACTCAGAAATCAGAACATGGTGTCCAATTATTTTCCGTGTCCAAAAGTTGATATTCTGGTGCAGTTCTAGTTCAAGGTTTGGTACGATTACCTATTTTCGAAAAAAGGTTCTAGGTTTGGTGGGGTTTTACTCTTATTTATCCCAAACCCCAACACCCGTTTGAATATCTCCAGCACAGAAGCGCGAATTATGAGAGAGATGGGGTCCAGAGACAAGGACCCAACGGCGCCGCACCAGCCCCTCCTCAGCAGTCTCGTTGTCCGCCCATCCGCCAGTGACGGAGGCGACGATGGCAATGGAGGACGTGTTGGCGGAAGCGATTATGAACCTGGCGAGCTCCGCCGCGATCCGCCTTCGTATTCTCGTTCAGATCGATACAACGATGAACCTGGTTCGTCTTTTTCTCTCTTATTCATCATGCCTTTTCACTTTCCGCTCCATTCTCTCTTTACAATTTAAATGCTAATGTTGTCAACTTGTCATTGCTGCAAAAGTCATATGCTTTGAAACCCTAATTCGGACCTAGGGTTTTGAGGTTCCATGCCTTATATGCTGTATTGAGTTTGAGTCGCTTAACTGCTTGATAATCAACTGCATCTATGGAATGCGACTCTGCCGCTGTTAACTTGTATTAAGGTTGTGCAAATTCTACTGAATTGTTCTAATTTACAATTTTGAAGTCATAGCTTTTGTGTTTCTTCTTCGATGCATCGTGTCTTCGAGTTTAGATAACAGGTTAGTGTGACAAAGATGCTCATCTATTTGGTGAAAAGAACTGTGGAGCTATGCATGATTTTGCTTTTGAAATGGTGAATGCCTAATTGTGGCATATGTTGTAAATTTTACAGATCAGAGCTAAGAATTGAGGCTTAAAAGCAGCTACTTTTAATCATCGTAATGGTACTGCTGTTTAATTAGCATCACTTAGTGCTTCGTTTTGACTTTATAACATAGGAAGACAAAATTTTGGATTTGTGATCAAATTTTCTGTTTCACTTAAAGAACCACTATTGGTGTCTTTTCCGTGTAGAGTATTGGACAAATTTTTATATTCAGATGGTTTTTGAGTTTGTCCTTCACTCAGGATAGCATCACCCATGCGATATTCTATTTGATTTACTCCACTGGTCCTATTCTTATGCTTATTATTTCTAGTTTTTAGTGATATTCTGTTTAACATGGATCAAGTAGCCAATACCTGAATATTTAGTTCTGTATGTTTTGGCTGAGTGCGATACTGAGATTTATCCAGTCTAAATAGGTAACTTATTTGGTTCAAATGATTAGTCTGGAGGGTTTTTTACTAGTTATTTAAAAAATAAGTTTTCACAACTTGTTTTCTCTTATTTGCATATCGAACATGTCAATCTGCTACCCTTATGGAGTATTGAGCTACAAATAAATTCATCTATTGTGTGTTACAGCTAGGAAAGTTGCCTGCAAGAACTTGGGTCTTGATGAAGGCATGTTGGTGTGAGTGTGCTGGATCATGGTTTTTGGGAATTGTTTTTTAATCTTTGGGGTATATTATTTTTTTGTGCAAAATGTCATTTGGGTATCAGCATGGTGAATGAACTTCTTGTGCCGTATTGGAAAAGACAACGTTGTGTGTCTCATTTGGTTGGAAGGCCACTGACTGTTTGTTTACTTGGAGGTATGTGGGGATGACAGTTTCAGTTTAAAAATATATGGTATCTAATTTGGAATTCTATTTACAATGCCATGTTAAGAGGTTTGGCATTGAGCACTTCAACATTGTTGAATGGCATGGTTAAAGGAAGTTGTGACTGAAGCATCAGGTGCAGTGGTAATGGTCATGCCCTTGTCTAATAAATGGTATAGTTGCCTGTTGCCTGGAAAATACTAGCATGATGGAGTGCTTCAGGGTCTTGATGGACAACAACTTGTCGCAAGGATGTGTTTTTTGCTTGTGGGAATAGCGGACTATATCTTTTGATATTTGTCGATTTTGTTTATTAATGGCAGTGCTTGATTGCTGGATTCTTGGTAACTGTTGAATTCTTCTGTGCATGGTTTGGAAAATTACTTCGTGGGAATTCCGTGGTCTTAATGTGTTATTTCTTTCCTTTTCTTTTTTATCTTGGGGTGAATAAGTTCAAATTAGATGACTACAGTGATGTGCTGATTTTTACTTCTGTGGAACAATTCTACACTTAATTTGTATTGTTCATATTGGATGGTTAGTTAGATGGGTGTGGAAAGTTGTTCGAGATCAAGTAACCTCTCAGATGATTGTTGTCGTTTGTGGGTTTCTACTTTTAATATAAAATCTTTTTGTCAAAGAAGCGTTTGCCACTGCATTCATTAAAGGTAATGAACTCAAGTTTGGACTCAGAAGTCAAATTTGAGGGATTCAGGTTGAAAGTTTTCAAACAGAAGGCACAGATTGGTTTCCCAAAAAAACTGGTGAATTGAATTGATGGTGGGTGATCTTTTTTTGAATTAGTTGGCTGTTTGCACAAGTGGGTGTCCTGCTGTTCATATGTGGTAGGTTTGCTTTGTTTATCAGACACACTGCTCTTTATTGAAGCCATGTTTGAAGAAAGGTTTTGGGATAAACTTGTTATGGGTTTCATGTTTTATGTGGATTGTTATTTACAGGGTCCTGCATTTAAATTATCTGCACAACACAGGTGGGATGATTTTCTTCCTATGCCTACCTCACAAGGACAATCTTGGTTGGTCAAGCTTCATGGTTTTGAGGATGATAGTTCTGACATTTAGGCAGAAATAAATTTTAAGGTTTTGGGGATGGTAGTTCAGACATTGAGGTGGAAATGATACATTTTAAAGCATGTCATGGCTTGCAAGTTGGATGGATTTGGTGCTTGAATCTAGGAAAATTGGACTCTTCCTTATTGAGGATTTGAGCAATTATAAATTGTTGCAAGAAGTACTTCCCATGGTTTTCGCTTCACATGCTCATTGCTCCAGTATGCAATATTGGTAAATTGGTGAGTTTGAAGAAGATCAAGGGAACTTATAATGTGAAATTACTATTTCCTTTCTTTTTATTCTGTCATTTTCTTTTTATGCTCCCTGGTGAGGAGATTGATAGTAACTCTCCTTGCAAACTTTATTAATTCAATCAATTTGCAATTTCATGCTCAACAGGGCTTCCCACCACACAACGATTTGTTTTTTCATTTTTTTCCCCTTAGTTGCTTAACTGTAGACAACATTGGCTTTTCCAGGATCTAGAGTTCGTCCAGGTTCTGGTTCTCCTGTACGGCGTAGGGATGCAGATAACCGCCATGGTTCTGATCTTGATCGTGTAGGTGGTCCACGGAGCCGTGAATTTGGTAGTGGGAGGGATCCTGGCAGACATAGAGAATCTTCACCTCCTTATGGTGGAGGACTGGGTGGCGGCAGGCCAGCTGGTGGAGGTTTCGATGCTCCTGGATTTGGTCCTGGGCCTTTCAGAGGTGAAGGAATGGGTAGAAACAATCCAAATGTGAGACCAAGGGAAGGTGACTGGATCTGCTCAGATCCTCTGTAAGTCTCTAACTTGTCTCTTTGGGTTTCCCTCTTTATTTCGCAGCCTTTCCTTCCTATCTTACATCTTTTATTGATGGTCTTGTTGTTTCCCAGTTTGTGGCCTTTTGTTGGTAGAATGGTCTCCTTCCTCTAGCAATTAAAATTCATTATCTAACAATTTAAAGCTTTTGAGGAACTGATCCTCTGAAGTTATTTAGCAAATTTTGAGTTTGACCCCTTTTTTGCCTCTCTTTAGTTATTTTTGTGCTGACTTAATTGTTGCATATTTGTTTGTTACATGCTATTTCGCTAACAAGTATTTTGCTTTTGGCAAAAAATTAGAAAACATGCTTTCTGGAGGGCTGATTTCTATGTTATTAGCATCTAATACCTCAATCTTTATATCCTCGTATACTTTTTTCGTGTTTCAGATGTGGCAACCTTAACTTTGCAAGGCGAGAACACTGTTACAACTGCCGGAGGCCTCGCTATCCACCGGTTGGAAGTCCTCATAGGGGCTATCCTGGCCGTCCACCTCCACATGTTCGTCCTAGACGCTTTGCTGGTCCTCCTATAGATATTTCGCCTGGTAGAGCAGTGAATGGCTTTAGGTCTCCTCCTCATGGTTGGGCAAGGGATGGTCCAAGAGACTTTGTCGCTGGCGCTTCCCAACCTGCCCGGCATGAGAGCAGATTTTCTGATCATGGCATGCGTGGGGATCGGCTGGATTATCCAGAAGATGACTATAGGGGGAGGAACAAGTTTGATCGGTCAATGCCCGTTGACTGGGGACATAGAGATCGAGGAAGGGATAACTTGTTTAATGAAAGAAAAGGGTATGAAAAGCGCCCGCCATCTCCACCTCCAGCCCCACCCCTTCCACCTCATTATGGCAGATGGGGACGAGATATGAGAGAGAGGAGCAGATCACCAATCAGGGGTGGCCCACCACCCAAAGCCAAACGCCGTGATATGTACATGAGACATGGACGAGATGACCGACGTGGGATGGGCCGCAACCGAATTGGAGATGCATATTAGCAGTAGGGGATCTATAATAACATTGATTCATGTAGAATTCAGTTTTCCTTGTGTAGAGTGAGGAATTTGTAGACAGCTAAGGATAGATCCTGTGCTCTGCTTCCGATTTCCCGCAGCATAGAAACTTCTTCTAACTTCTACTTAATTTCTGAAGTTCCAAAATCATAGATTCATGACAGTGGTTTCTCAATTTCTTTCGAAATATGCGTGAGTATGCGTTAGTGGTTCCTACTTTTGCTGAAAACGAGATACACTAGAGATTATTTTGTGGAAAGGGATGGGACAGGGTTAGCACATTTTTCATGTTCGTAAAATGATAAAGTCAAGTGCATGGAAAATATCAGTTAGAAAGGTCTTCAATAAATGGCAATGCTGCGTTGGATTTTATCTCTATTTTCAATACATTATTGAAAATTAGGGGTATAAGACTCTTCATTTCGTTGTTTAGAATGGTAAGTAGTTTTCATTGAAAAAAAAGGTAAAAACCAACATTTAGCCCATCACCTTACAAAATTGGTAGGTTTTAGTCCCTCACCTTATAACATGACAGTTTTAGCCTTTTATCTTACAAAATTGGTAAGTTTTAACCTTTCACCTTACAAAATTGGTAGGTTTTAACTATTTATCTTATATTTTAATATTTTTAGCCCATCATCGATACGAATTAAAGAAAATAACCCTCACCTAACATTTGTTAGCTATTAACATCTGTTAGTATTCCGTTATAAAAAATATATAATTTAAATTCAATTTTATTTATTAGTTCCATTAACGAACTGCTAACAG